CATTAGGTACGTTCAGTGGGGTCAGCTATTCTTTAAGTTATCATTCCTCTTTCTCATTTCCTCATTCTCAAAACCTCTACTTTCTTTTTTTCTAGAATGGCCTATGGAAGCTCTGATTGGCTGGACTAAGTGCAATCTCACCCAGGTGATGACAGTGGACGCAGTGAGGCTAAGTGACTTACACAAAGTCACTCAGGTAAGTAGTGGGAGGGTCCGTCCTGGAGTGAGCTTCTGCCATCAGCCCAATGCTTCCTCCAGTGTTCTGAATCTCTCCCTGAACGTCAGTAAGAAGCTCTCTCTCCCTTGTCCCTCAAAGCAGGGCCAGAATCACGGACTTGTGAGCTATACAAATGTATGTAGCCCCGAGCTTTAAACAGTCCGTAATTTAATGTTCTGTCATTACTGTTTTGAAATCCGTAATAGTTTTTAAAAATAATTTTGTACGGGGGCCCACAAATTATACAGCTGACCGGTCCCTGGAGAAGGACATTATGCCTGGTAAAGTGGAGGGTCAGAGAAAAAGAGGAAGACCCCCAATGAGATAGAGTGACCCAGTGGGAACAGTAAGGGATTCAGGCATCACAACGATCCTGAGGACGCTGCACGACAGGGCAATGTTTCTTTCTGTTGTGCATAAGGTGGCTATGAGTAGGAAGTGACAGTACTTAACAACAATAGCGACAACCTACAAGAGAAGGAGTTCCTTGTCCTTGACATGCGATCTTTGTCATACACCTAGAAACGTGGAAGCAGAAAACAGCCGCAGTTCAGTCGACCAAGGCAGAGTCAGTCTCTGCTCTGACCACCATTATTCTGACCTGAAGATTTCAGCTCGCCTCAACCTTTCAGCTCCTACCTAAACAGACTTTCATGAAAAGCTTTGTTCTCTGAGATTGCATTAATTGAGGTAGCATTTCAATTATCCTTTGACCCTTATTAGAAGCCAAAGTAATTCTATTTCTGTTTAACTTATTTTGCTAACAGGTATGGTGACAAATTAGAAGGTTTTATCAAATTTTCTCCTCTCCACACCACATCATTTTCTAGAAATCAATACTTTCGAATCCTTATTAACATATCAAATACCATCTACTTGTATTTTAAGCAGCTTGACAAACAATCCATATCTTGAAAAATTATTCCAAACAAATCTTGGGCCAACTCTTCCTGTTTCTCTTGAGCTCATAATGGTAGTATTGTTTTATTTGTTTAATTTCGTTTAGTTGTCTTATCTGGCATGGGCAAATAACACAGATTGTTTTCAGGTCTTGTTTTTAATTAAACAAGGTAAAACACTTATACATTATGTCTGCTCAGGCAACGTTCAACCGCACATAAGTCCATAGTCCTGTAAGGTTATAATAAAGTTCAGAAATCCTAATCAGAGAATGGGACACAGCAGACACAACTCACCAAACACAATGTATGTATCTCATGCCTCTTGTATACAAAGCAATTGCACTGCCAGATGTATAATGGTACAAGACACATATAGTCTATAATACATGTGTATTCAAAGTCCTAATAAACACCAGTGTTACTAGTATATGTATGTACAATAGTTTCTATCTAAAATACTGGCCATAAAATAGTGTATATGTCAATTCATAGGCAGCCACATCCATTCTGGTGAATTGCCCATCTCTTGAGTGTTGTGGCATTAGCTCTCTAATTTCCTTTCAAAAACATGACAGTGAACCATGGTTCATAAGCCCAATAAAACCAGTGCTAAAGGAGCTGTGGTAGTGTAGTGGTTACGAATCGGGCTGCTAACCTCAAGGTCAGCAGTTCGAAACTACCAGCCATTCCTCAGGAGAAAGATGAGGCAGTTCTGCTCCTGTAAAGATTTACAGCATCAGAAACCCTGTACAGGGTCACTATGAATCAGAACTGACTCCACCGCATATAACCACCACCACCAATGAGAGCAACAGCCAGAAGAAAAGGAGAAGTATCAATCTGAAAGTGAAACAAAAGCTTATCGAACAATATGAAGGTGGAAAATCAGTGAATGCTATTGCCTGTGATTTAGACACTGCTACGGATTGCATTGTTTGCCCCAAAACATGTGTAAACTTGCCTGAACAACAATGTGTTTGACAGTTATGTGATGACCCCTCATGATGTGATCTTCTGTGATAAACAAATAAGAACAGAAAGGGTGGGATGTTGAGCCGTCGAGTCGGTTCTGATCATAGCAACCCTGCATAGGGTTTCTGAGCAGCAAATGGTGAGCTTGAACCACCGACCTTGAAATTCAAACCAACTTTGCAGTCCAGCGCATTAACCACCATACCAGGATTCCAAGGGTGCAATTGTTGTTATTGTTAAGTGCCATCAAATCCGCTCTGACTCACAGCGACCCTCTTTTAATCTCACCAGAACTTTGGTAAAATGTACGGGAGTTTCCAAGGGTGTGGCATGCAACTCATTTTATCTTACAAGAGATAAGAGGAGAGAGGCATGAGTAGAGAGAGAGGGACCCAGTGCCACCAGGAAGAAGATACAAGAATGGAGAGCACCTTGTAGATCTGGTGTCCTTGCACTGTGAAGCTCCTAGAGTCAGGGAATGATTGATGTCAAGACACTCGGACATCTCCAGGAAAGCCGAGCCTACAGATGCTGACAAGGACCTACAGTCAGAGGCAGCAGTCTGAATTCAGACCTCGGGTAGTGTAGTGGTTACGAATCGGGCTGCAAACCGGAAGGTCAGCAGTTAGAAACTACCAGAAACTACCAGCTGTTCCACGGGAGAAAGATGAGGCTTTCTGCTTCCGTAAAGATTTACAGCCTCGGAAACCCTGTATAGGGTCGCTATGGGTGGGAACCGACTTGACGGCACACAGCAGTCTTTTAAAATGTGAAAGAATAAATTTCTGTTTGTTAAAACCTCCACTTGGGGCATTTCTGCTAGAACAACCCTAGATGACTAAGGCAGGCATGTTGCATTTGACAATCACAACGACCCTCAAATACAAAGAATACATTTTCCAAGCTGCTGAAAGATTGGCTCCAATAAAAGCTACAAAGCTAATGGTGACATGAGAAGGATCTATATCAGCTATGAAGATCATGCTAATGACGTGGATTGAGGGCCAAACGAGAAGCACACCCCATTCAGCACATCTCGAAGATCACTGCTAAATTACCTATGGCACAAAGCTCATTCCAGATGCTTTTAGAAAAAGCAGGACCAGACTATAATATGCTGTTTGCACAAAACACCCAAATCACATAACATGCTATTTCACAGAATGTAGCATTCACATGAAGAAATTGCTGGGTTGTTTTGTTTTGTTTTTAAAGTGTCTCCTCTAGTGTTACAGGGATACATCATTAAAATGCATATTAAAAAGAATAGGTAACACATTTCATTTTAAGCATATTTTCATAAAATAATTTTAGACCTGGAAAATACCTTACAAATTACCACACTCAATGTCCTTACTTTCCCTATAAGGACAACTAGCTGCCATGAAGTCTATTCCAAGTCATGGCAACCTCATGTGTGTTGAAGTAGAATTGAACTCCACAGGGTTTTCAGTGACTGTCTCTTCAGAAGTAGATCGCCAGGCATTTCTTCTGAGCATCTCTAGATGGGCTTGAACCTCCAACCTTTTAGTTAGCAGTTGGATGCAGGCACAATTTGTATTGCCTGAGGTCTCCCAATTAAGATATGGTGATTGGTTCAACAAATATGGCAGGTACACACAGGGAGACACCGGAGGGCCTCTGATCCCATAGAAGTCTTAGTAGCACCTGGTACTTAAGGAGTTCCAAGTGCGTTAGATAGGTGATCATTAGTCATTGTGCAAGGAGCTCTGGTAGCGTAGTAGTCACGAATTCGGCTGCTAACCTCAAAGTCAGCAGTTCAAAACTGCCAGTTGTTCTGCTAAAGAAAGAGGAGGCTTTCTGCTCCAGTAAAAATTTACAGCCCCTGTACTGGGTCGCTGTAACTCGGAACCAACTCCACGGCCCACCACCACCACCACCAATCACTGCACACTGTACTTAAGCAATTCTAAGTTAGACTAATGACCACTAACTGTTACTATGCGGTTCAATCTACAACTTCAGAAAAGGAGATGATTTATTATTTTAATTGCAAAATGGAATACAAAAACCCTCTAATGTTTCGCCAGAGTCCTGGTGGTATAGTGATTTAGAGCTTGGCTGCTAACCAAAGGTCACAAGTTCAAAGCCAGCAGCTCCTCCATGGGAACACAATGTAACAGTCTGCTTCCATAAAGATGACAGCCTTGGGATCTCTATGGGACAGTTCTGCTCTGTCCTATAGGTCGCTGAGTCAGAACTGACTTGGCAGCACACAAGAAGGGTGGCTCTAAAGATGAGTATTACTTCATATTAGCCATTTGTTGAAAATTACTTTGAGAGGCATTATATTAAGGTCACACAAAATGCATCATGTATATATTATACAAAATTCTATTTTAGAACACTTAATGGCATCATTATTGTGAGACAGAACTACTCCTTTCTAGGACAGATTTTCCACATACAATTGTCACAAATGTAGGAAATGCAATCTGGCCATGGTGTATCCGAATAAGAAGAAGTAATCATGAAACCTGGAACTTCTTACAAGACTCGTGAGCATTACATGGTCCTTTGGCCATGGTCTTATCTTGGACATCCCTAGAATGCTAACTTCACCTCCCTGAATTAGTCTTACTCACGGAACTGCGCATATCTTCAACTAGACTGCAAACATCTTAAGAAAAGGAACCTTGTGCTTCCTGTTCACCTTTTCATTTGCTGAATCTAGCACATTGCCTGGCACACACAGTAACAAAATAAGTAAGTAGATGAATCAATGATTGAATGTCTTATCAAATTTCTGTGCTTTCTCCTGGTGAGAAAGTGGTGAGCTAATCCAAATGAAGATGAAAACTGCACCATGTATCTAACACAGTGCTAAGGAAAGAGCAAATGTAATGAATGATTACTTAATAAGGAAAGGCATGAATGTAGTCACTTACTTGCAAGCAAGCCAACTCCACTTGCAAGGGATCCCACCCAGGCTGTTTTTCCTTTCCCTTCACCAAATGCATCCAACCATTCTATGTACAAGACTCCAACAGCCAGCGGGGATCCGTAACACAAAAACTGAGTGAAGAAAGAAACAAGTACAATCACCCAGCCCCATCCGCCATCAGGTGACTTTGTAAATTCCATTGTAAGGTGAAATCAACGAGGTGTCTTTCCTTAGGTCCTGGACAGAAACAAACAAACAAAAAGACACAGTTAAGATGTCGTGCAGCATAGTATTTTGGATTAAAAAGCATTTCCTTTTAAATTAAAAAACAAACAACAAGAAAAACATACTTCTTTAAAAAACATCCATGAAAACTCATAAATTAACATAGACGCATCAGTTTGCCTTTTTGTTTTAGTTTTTTAATAACTACTACATTCACATGGTTCCATTTTTCTTATTAATTATAAAAAGGCATATAATGAAAAGCTTCCTTCTCAGCATTATTCTTGTTCATCAGACAGATTCCCCATTTCCACTGTTTTTAGTTTGCTGTCACATATTGGGTCCTTAAGAAGCAGATGCTTAGCATTAAAGGGGTTTATTAGGCATGTTCTTGGGCATCAGTGGAGTCCATGGATGGTACAAATGGTTAATGCACACTGCAATTAACTACAGTTGGAGGTTCGAGTCCACTCGGAAGTGCCTTGAAGGAGAATCCTAACAATATACTTTTGAAAAGTCAGCCGATGAAACCCTGTGGAGCACAGCCCGACTCTGACACATGTGGGGTCACCAAGAGTGTGAGTCCACTGAAAGAAAACTGATTTTTAGGGTCAACCCTTGTGAAAAAGAAAGGAAAGAGGTTAGAGGGAGAAATTAATAAATTAAGCTGTGATTCAGTCTTTACAAAGGAGATTGCTGAAGCTGGATGACCCTTCAGAGTTGTATTGTGTGGGGCTTGGGGGTCTGTCCCTTCAAATTCCCAAGTTTGCCATCCATTGATTGCAAGCTACCCTAGGAAAGAGTGTGACTTTAGGCGGCGCTCTTCAAACAAGGCAATCTCCTCCACAGGACTGCCAGCTGAGGTTACCTGCTAGAAGCGATAGATCTTTCATTCCCCAAGGGTTGTGGGGGAAAGTGAGGACACATCCCAAGGTTTACCCACTTGAGTATCCTTCCTGATTGTCTTTATATTTATGCAAGCAAAACAAAGATTTCCTCCTTTTTCCACAAAAGATGGCATATTGTACATTCTATTCTGTACCTCGCTTTAGTCACTTAACATGTTTGGAGACTCTTTTATTGATATGTTATTGTTGTCAGCCAAGTGCTAATGAGTCAGTTCCAACTCACTGAAACCCTGTGTAGGATTTCCAAGAAGTGGTTGGTGGGTTTGAACAGCTGACCTTTTGGTTAGAAGTCCAGTACTTATCTTACAGCACCACACAAGGACCTCATCAATACGTATAGAGCATCTTTAGTATTTTTTTTTTACAAAACATGAGTTAATGTTTGTTTATTGAATAGGCAGGACCATCACATGGCTGAAAAATAAAAAAAGAGGTATGCAATGACCCATCTACCTATTTTTGGCCTAATCCTCACAGTTCATCTTCCTTTACTTGTTACACAAGTAACCAATATTACTTGTTTCTTTTACATCATTCTAAGCACAGTTCTTAGAGTCCTCGTGTGGCGCTGTGGGCTAATGCGTCAGACTGCAAAGTCAGTTTGAACTGCAAGGTCGGCGGTTCAAGCTCACCAGCTGCTCCTTTGAAACCCTATACAGGGTTGCTATGGGTCGGGATTGACTCGACAACACTTAACAACATCAACAATTCTACTCTACACACATGGGTTAAAACTCATATTCCATAGCAATCAACAATGGCAATGTTTCCTTAAGAGTCCTGATTGGCACAAATAGTTAAAGTGTTTGAGGACTAACCTAAAGGTTAGGGAGGCGGGGCTGAAAAACAACTGGAGCACCTGGCACTCTGCTCCCAAAAGGTCACAACCTTGATAACGCTTTGGAGCACAATTCTACTTCGCAACATATGGGGTCATTATAGGTCAGAATTGAAACAACAGGAATGGGTTTGTTTGTTTTAGAGGGAGGGGGTTCTTTATGTGTACACAGGAACCCTGGTGGCACAGTGGGTTAAGAATTGGACTGCTAACCAAATATTCAGCAGTCCAAATCCACCAGCCCATCAACAGGGATAAAAATGAGGCTGTCTGCTCCCAGTCCCAGATTTTCAGTCTAAGAAATCCTAAAGAGCAGTTCTATTCTGTCCTAACGGGTCGATGTGAGCAAGAATCGACTCAACAGGAGTGAGTTTTATGTTTACACCAACAATCCAAATGTGGATTTCCTTCTCACTTTTTATACAAAAAGCAGCTGATTATACACACTGATAATGCCTTTTTAATGCCTCTTGATATACCATTACACAGATAAACGACCTTTCTTGTTTTCTAATACTGCATTGTACTCCAATATAGAGCTTTGCTCTTAATTTGTTTAATCAACCTCCTGTGGCTTAGAATAAACACAACGCTACATTGAATATTTCCACGTGTATATCTGATTTTTCATATGTGCACATCCGTTAAATGAAACCCAAAAATGGAATTGCTATGTATGGTTGCTGTGACATCACAAGGGAGGTGGGGGGACATGGAGTTAAGCAGACTGTCCCAGGTGCCACTGTCAAAGAGAGAGACCCCAAAATGTCTGTAAAGTATCCCTGCAGTGTTTAAGCAGAAATTTCTAAAAATGTCCCTGAGTTGCTGGTAAATGCTGTTGAGTCTGTCCTGATTCATAGTGATCCAGTATAGGGTTCCCAAGGAACCGCTGGTAGGTTTGAATCACCAACCTTGTGGTTCACAGGTCAACAATAACAATGCACCTCTGTCATCAATGCCCAATGACAGAGATGCTTCAAATCACCTGGTTTCTCTTATACATGCTCTAAGCTATACTGTTTGCTTCCAGTGTTCTTCTGTAGGGTTTGGTAAGGAAGAGGTTCAAGGGGGCAGGGGACGGACATCATGAAGTACTACACTGGGTGACAACAAGCCTAGTATTGCCACTGTTTATTGGTAATTTTGCTGAGTATTATAAATTGGCTTCAAAGAGACTGAACCAATTTGGTATTAATCCCTAGCCATTTTGAGTATGTTATGAAACTTCTGGATTTTTGCCAACTTATTAGTATCAATGCAGTATTATCATTACTTTAATTCCCATAGTATGAATGTTGTTGGGCATAGTTTTATAAGTTAAAAGTATTTAAAATTCCTATCTCACTTTGAGTATAATTTAATGTATTTCTAGATATTCAATTTTGTTCCACAGATCTATTTGTGTTGTAATATGTGGTAAAACACCATTACCACACATTAGTTTAATTATTAGGTTTGTGGGTTGTTTTTTAAGTCATTTTAATTTCCAGTACAGCTAAATTCGAAAGTTTATATCAATATATTTTTAAAGTATTTTCCTGGCTATTCTTCTTTATTTTTTATATAAGCTTCACAATCAGCTTAATGGGTTCTAGAAGAAATCTGATGATGCTTTCTTTGGGATTGAGTTAAATTTATTAAGTAATTTCAAGACACTTAACCCCTGTATGGTGTTGAGTCTTTCTATCTAAAAAGACCACGGTGTGCCTTTCCATTTATTCAAGTCTACTTTCATGTTTAACATTTTCTTCAACTATTCTTGTTTATCTTTTGGTATTCTATCCTTTTTACTAATATTATAATTGGGATAATTTCTTAACTAATTGTGTGCATTACTGAAAGCTATTAGTATATGTGTGTTGTTTTTGTACCCATGGACCTTATTAATTCAATTCTCTTGTTTACTGTATTTATATATATATCACAATATAGTACAATATAGTTATAAGTCTTGGTATGATGCTGTAGAATAAGCACTGGACTGATAACATCAAGGACAGCAGTTCAAACCCACTAGTCACTCCTGGAAAATCCCATGCAGGGCTGCTACATAACAGCAACATAGTATGTTACATAATCATTTGCAAACAGTGATAACTTTACCTCATTTTGAAATTTTTAACTTCTAGCTTTCTTTTTTTGTCTTTCCATCAAATAGTGCATCCAGAATAATGTTAAATATTGTTAAATAATAATAACTACATCTTTTGTAGTTCCTAACTTAAATGGGAATGCCTTCAGGTGTCTGCCCTGTAAAGATTTACAGTCTTAACAGCCCCACATATAGGGACGCTATGAATTGTAATAGACAAGATGGCAGTGGATTTTGTTCTGTTTTCAGGTGTCATGACCTAGACCTCAGACAGATTTGTTTTTTAACTTAAGGAAACATCCATCTTTTTTATTTCTGAATATCAAATACATTTTCAGTTTGCAAGGACAGAACTATCTGATTTTGTTTACAATGTTTAACAGTAGTATGATAAAATCTATATTTTCTTAAACTATTCATGAATCATTGCATTGAATCCTCTTTGATTAATGTATTCTTTTGACTATGGTATTTATTTTTTTAGGATTTTTAAATTCATAAGTAACATTTGTCTGTTTTTCTTTAAGGAAACAAACAAACAAACACCTTTTCATTGTGAATTGAGTGAAAATTTTCAAAGCAGTATTTTTTATGTTTTCACTATTTTCCAGGTTTTGATAAAAAAATAATAATAATAATAATAATAACTTTATGAAAAGAATTGGAAAGTTTTCCTTCTCATCTAGAGTCTGAAAAACAAAACTTACCAGGCAATGGATCTGAAGAGACCTGTGGTCTCATCTCCCTGGCCCTCCTAACACCTCCCTCTATTTTACAGAGTGTCTCTTCACCGGTCCAGGCTTAAAGTCAGATTCGACAGTCCTTTTCACCCACAGATTTTGCCAAGTGCAGTTTCATTAGGTACATACAGTCCGAATAGCATTCAGCTCCTTTAAGAGTGTCATAGTTAGATCCACCTTTTACCTGGGCCTCTGTGAATTTCTTCACATTCAGAGCACTGGGCAGAAATCATGTAACCCCCAGCCACAGGCCTTTTAATAAAACTTAATTATCTGAGAGACATGACAATTTACAAGCAAAACTTTAGAATCTAGAACAAAGTTCTCAAACCATATGATTGTGTTAACAGAGTGACTATTCCAGATTTCCAACTATTTAAATCCTTTGAGGAGTCCTGGTATAGCACTATAGGATAATCACTGGACTGCTAACC